CCCGCCAATCCCCAAACACAAACTCCCCCCTCCCACAACCAATCTCCGCCAGACAAAGCCTCTCATAACACTACAACTCTCCAAAACCAAATCAAACATACCCAACCTCTATACCAGCCACTGTCAACAAAATCGACCTAACTCAAGACTGAAACCAAACAACCTATATCTCACTCTCATCTCCGTTCACAATTTGACAAAGCTCAAATCTGTCCCCTGCTATTACTAAATAACTCTCCTACGATACACTCATCCTTCCTTACTACGAATACTTTGACATTTCAAGCTCAAAGATTCAAAACTCTTCCTCCAACTCTCTCCATTTCTCTCTGACATAGCTGAAAGACCCACAACTCTCAGAACCAAATCAAAACATACCCAACGTCTGTGACATCCAATTCTCAATAAAATCGACCTAACTCAAGACTGAAACCATTCAGCCTATATCTCATTCTCGTCTCCGTTCATAATTTGACAAAAAAGCTCAAATCTGTCTGCTGCTATTACTAAAAACTCTCCTACGATACGCTCATCCTTCCTTACTATGAATACTTTGACATTTCAAGCTCAAAGATTCAAAACCCTTCCTCCAACTCGCTCTGTTCCTCTTTGACATAGCTCAAAGACTTTACCTTCATCTTTCTCCAAACAACCCTACGACTAGCTAAATTTCCATGTTTTCACCTTCTCTGTTACTTTGATCGTGTGTTGCCTGTGCGTCCGTCCACCTGCGCTTCTCGGCTTGCGCCGCCGCCGTGGCGGGGCGGTTCTTCCTCCGCTTTGCCAACACTGCCTAGGCTAAGACGACAACCAGAGCACCCGCGTTGGCCCTTTGCTTGCCCGGACCTGCTCCCGCCCTCCCTCTGCCTCGTCCTGATTATGATTGTTGCACCCTCAGGGCATATTGCCTACCCCCTCACGCAAGCGGTGTTTAGCCACTGCACCTGTTCTCTCCTTCTAAAATTCACTTCTATCCTCCCTTTATCCTTCCCCTGAACCTCCTTCCCCCCTGTCACTAGCATTTTTCGTTCGTTCGCTGTACGCTGATTGGCTGGTCGGCGCGCGGCCGGAGCTCAGTTGGGAGTTGTAGGGGAGAGGAGCCACTACAGTCCCATCCAGGTGGTGAAGTGCGGGCCCAGGTGAAGTAGTCTGCCAGTGTTGATTATACGTTCTGGTTATTGTTGCCGTTGCTAAAAATGCGGTGTCTTGCATTGAAATCTCCCAGGATGTACATTGGAATATTATAATTTGTTAGTTTCAGTAGGTCTTCAATAGGGAGGGATGGTCTTCTTGGGGATAGGTATGTTGTTGCGATTATTATTTCGCCCTGTGTTGTCTGTACTTTAATGGCAAGGAATTCGCTGTTAAGGTTGTCTATTAGTATGTGCTTGATACCCTTTTTCACCGCAACGGCAACTCCATCATGTTTTTTTCCACTTTTGTTCGATTGGTGGGTGTCGTAGTTAAATATTTTGATTTTGTTTTTCTCGGGTTCGCCGTGTGCTCTTATCAGTATTATATCTGGATTGTTTTCATTATATATGTTACAAAGCGATGTTTTGCATGTATGCCAATCACGGACATTGTGTTGTAGTGTAATGAGCGGATTTCCTTTACTTCATATTTTATCATCCAGATATTCCTTTCTGTTATTATTCTTCAATTCTTTGTCTATATATACCTTGTATTCTTGCTTATATTCTTATATAAGTAATTCTGATATTTCTCTTCTTATAGTTTCCAAGTCTTATATTTCTTTTCATATAATGTATATTATATTTTCTGAATTTATATGTCCTTACCTTGCTGATGTATACTCTGTTTTATTATATTCTCAACCATGGATTAGTCTGGGGAACCGTGTTATTCTTAGTACAATTCCATAATTAACATCCTTACAACAATTTCACTATGAGTATCAGGGTCTATGATATTCATAGGTGAAAAGAGCTTACAAGTCTCGGACAACAAATACGGCATCTCTATGACCGACGTCAATGATACAGAGAAAACGGAGGATGTTTCCACTGGGAGACTCGAAAGGTTTACAGGTTTTGTGGGCGTGGAGCGTAATATGAATTATCAGGCTTTAACAGGCTAGCCGTCATTACGACCGTGACAAGACATCTCTAAGTTGATGCAAAGCAAGGGTGTTCTCTTACCAATTCAAATGCATGAACACTCTTTGCGGAATTTAGGAATACCTGAGTTTTTCCGGTAATGCGACATAGAAAACGGAGGACGCAGATCTCCTGAAGTGGTTAGAGAATGAATCTTTTAATTGGGAGACTCAATGTGGCATATCCACATTGATGCTTTTTCAGTTTGACCGAGAAATAGCAGTTCGGGTGCAATATTCCATCTTTTCCTCTTTGCACCAACTCCTGTGTCACACGCATCCGATTGTATCACAAACTGTTTCTTAAAATCTGGGAGTTGCAGTACAGGAGCCATTGCCAACAACCCACGAACCTTTTCGAATGCTGTCTGGTATTCATCAGTCCACACAAACTTTCTTTTTGGGCTGACCAAATCTGTCATGGGAGTGACCACAATGGCAAAATTTTGACAAAACCGCCTGTAGAATCCAGCCATCCAGAGAAATCTTCTGAGAGCCTTTCGATTGTGAGGTGCGGGTAGACTGAGAATATCGGCAACCTTGGCATCAATTGGAGCAATTTTCCCTTGTCCAATGACATGACCAAGGAAGATTAAGGTGGCATGTCCGAATTCACTCTTGAGTAGGTTTACGGTGAAGTTGAACTCTGCTAGACGATTGAAGAGTTCACGGAGTCGGCCAATGTGTTGTACCCATGTGTCACCGACGACGACCAGATCATCTAGATGGGCGTACACTCCAGGCAGGCCTGATGTCACTATATACATTGCTCGCTGATATGTTGCTGATGCTCCTTTGAGGCCGAAGGGCATAACTTTGTATTGCCACAGCCCCTCCGCAGTGACAAAAGCTGAAATCTGCTTTGCTGCTTCCGAGTTTGATTTGGTAGTAGCCTTTGAGAAGATCCAGCTTGGTGACAAATGATGCTCGACCCACACTACCGATGATGTCGTCGATGCGCAGCAATGGATATGCATCAGCACGTGTCACCAGGTTGACCTTCCTGTAGTCAGTACACATGCGGACACTTCCGTCGGGTTTAGGCACCAGCACACAGGGTGACGCCCATGCACTACTGCTCCTCTCCACTATGTCATGTTCCAGCAGATACTCCACCTCCTGCTTCAGCTTCTCCCGCTTATCAGGGCTCATTCGGTAGGGTGCTTGCTTGATGGGAGATGTTCCAGGCAGCAGAACTAGGTTGTGCTCCAGCATAGAACACTGGCGTGGCACATCGTCGAAGAGTGGCTTGAACTCCTGCAGCAGTTGCACCACATCCTGAGACTGTTGTTGTGAAAGATGGAATACTTTAAAGGTAGGGTCACACAATATACTGGAATTATAGATATTTATGGGATATCCACTTGGAACCACCTCCTCTCCTCCTGTTACCGAACAAACCACTTCACTCCTACCAAAATACGGTTTTAACCTGTTGATATGAGTCAAACTCTCCAATTTTCTCTTGTCTGGAGTCGCTATGACATAGTTGAGGTCATTTAATTTCTTAACTATAGTGAATGGACCCTCATATTTAGCTTGAAGGGGATTTCTATACAGGGGTATCTCCAGGCTTAAATTCTCTAGCTTGACAATGCTCATCATATTGCTTTTTCATTTTCTCCTGTACTTCTGACAGATTTTCACGAGCAATCTCACCTACTCTCTTCAGTTTCTCTTTAAACTTCTCTACATACACTGACAAAGGGACTTTTATCTCATTACTTATCCAATTTTCCTTCAACACAGTCATAAGACCTCTTACAGCATGACCAAAAATCATTTCAAAGGGACTGAACCCTAGGGAATCTTGGGGACTCTCTCTTATGGCAAACAACATAAGTGGCACTCCTTCATCCCAATACTTATCAGACTCCATACAGTATTTTCTAAGCATAGATTTAAAAGTCTGATGGAATCTCTCTAGGGCACCTTGGGTTTGAGGGTGGTACGCAGAAGCTAAGTATTGCTTAATACCCAATTCATTCATCACCTGCTGGAAAAGGAAAGAAGTGAAATTAGTACCCTGATCCGACTGAACAACTCTAGGAATGCCATATTTAGTGAAGAAGTTAGTCACAGCCTTTACCACACTCTTTGCTTTGATGTTTTGCAATGGTATAGCCTCTGGGTACCTGGTGGTAGTACACATGATTGTTAACAAATGTTGGTGGCCACATCGAGTTTTTGGGAGAAGACCTACACCAGTGGTTCTCAACCTGGGGGCCATGGCCCCCAAGGGAGCCATGGCAAGAATTTAGGGGAGCCACGGCGAGCTGTTATAAATTGTACGTTTCCAAATAATGTTGGGAATCTGAATTAAACAAAACTTGTATTACTTATTTTGACTTGGCAGAAGAGAATTTTCATTCTTTTTTTGTCATTTTGTTTAATCATAACGACAATACAATTTTAATATTTACAGACTCTGGTGCTATTTTTTTTTTTTTTTTATGGATTATTTAAGATTTCACAGGTCCAGTCCCTGTCTGTGTGACAGGCGCTGGACCGAACTGCTGAACTGACTTGTTCAGTACGTGTCCGTGTGTCATCCCTTTGCAAGTGGTGATAGGACCGAATGATCTTAGTCTGGCCTGGGATACCATCACGAAAACAGTGGAGTGATTGTCTCTGAACCATATATTGTGTTTGAGCTTGACTCAAGCATAATATACTCCGTAATTGGTTACTTATTTTTTCATAATTCATGTGGTCGCTGCTTTACGTAGGTGAAATATTTGTACACTTCCTTTATTAATTATTTCCTTATTTATTGGTGCCATTGTTGTTCATACTCATTCTTTACTTATACAATCCTGTGCTGTGCTTCAAAGTGCTGGGGAACGATTCTATAAGGCCTAGTAAGCTGAAGCATCATCTGATGACGATCAATCCACAGTATGCGGAGAGAGACACCGATTTCTTCAGGCGCCATGAACGGAGTTTGGGAAAACAGAAACTGGGCGAGAGTGGTGCCTTCCAACAACAGACCGTAAGTGTAGTTGAGGCATCATACGAGGTTTCCCTCGAAATAGCAAAGCAAAAGAAGCCCCATACAATTGGTGAAACTTTAATTAAGCCATGTGCTCGAAAAATAGTCAAACGGGTTCTTGGAGAGGCAAGTAAACGTAAAATTCAACAATTTCATTGTCAAACCATACAGTGAAACGGAGAATTAATGAAATGTCAGATGACATAAAGGAAAAAGTGATACAGATCAAATTATCTTCAACTGGTATGTTTGCAATACAGCTGGATGAGTCAACGGACGTGAGTTCTTGTGCACAGCTACTCGTGTTTGTTAGGTATGTTTTCTTGTGTGACGTCAAGGAGGAATATCTGTTCTGTACACAGCTTGAGACTACCACAACAGCTGTAGGTGTGATGGAAAAGCTGTCTTCTTTCTTCACAGCTAACAGGATCAGCTGGGATCAAAATCGGGGTTTCAGAAGCGTGTCAAGGAAGTAGCTCCGAATGCCAAGGGGATCCATTGTATGATCCATCATTTTGCACTGGCGTCGAAAACCCTCCCTGATGAACTTTGCAAGATCCTGGAGGCAGTGGTCAAATGTGTCAACTTTGTGAAAGCTTTAGATCTGAACTCTTGCTTTTTCCAGAACCTTTGTAGAGACATGGATTCAGAGCATGAAGCCCTCCTCTTTTACTCCAAAGTGCGCTGGATTTCCAAGGGCAATGTTGTGAATCGAGTGTTTGAACTTCGGGGAGAGCTTAAGTTGTGCCTGGAAGTGCAAGGGAAAGATGACCTATTAAGTCACTTCAATGAAGTGTTGTGGGAGCCACATCTTGCATATTTAGCAGATATATTTGAGCTGCTAAACAGGCTGAATCTCAAGCTGCAGGGCAAGGACAGAAATGTGTTTCACCTCATGGATTGTCTTCGTGCATTTCTTGCCAAGCTCCAGAATTGGCAAAGGAAAATCATTGCAGGAAATGTTGCCATGTTTGAGAATCTTTCAACTGTTCTTGATGAGAATGAAGATCATCTGCTTGACCCATGACTCAAAACTGAAATCACTCAGCACCTGAAATCCTTGGAAAGTGAGCTCAAAAAGTATTTCCCAGAATTCGAGGAGGAAGATGGGAAATAGGTGAGGAATCCTTTCTCTGGCACTCATGATATTGCTACCATTCCCAATGATGTTCAGGACGAATTTCTTGATCTCAAGAATGATTCTGCTGCCAAAGATATCTGACTGTATTCTGGTGCTCAATGTATCAGTCATATCCAAAAGTTAGCGAGATTGGACTTCGAGTCCTCTTGCCTTTTTCAACTACCTATTTATGCGAATCTGGTTTCTCCACCTTTCTACATATAAAGAGTAAAAGCCGGAACCGACTGGATGTGGACCCGGACATGAGATGTGCATTGTCAGTGACACAACCTCGGATCAGTCACCTGACTGAAAGGAAACAATGTCAGCCTTCCCATCGAGCTGTGACAAAATACGCATAGGTCATATGAACTTTTTCCCAACCAAATTCAAGTTTGCTGTGAGGCTTGTCTAGTAGTCGCTCTAGTCTAGTGACGTCAGTTATGTAAATCATGTAAGTCTATCAAAATATAAGATAATTATGATTGTCAACCTGCATTTTATTTTTCAACATTATTTGTGGGGGGGTTTGGGAGAAAAATGAAGGAGGCCACGAGGATGTTGAAAATTCCTCAAGGGGGGAATGGAGTGAAAAAGGTTGAGAACCACTGACCTACACAATCAATTATAACCCAGCTAAATGGCTCATCTACCATAGGAATGGGTTTTAGGGGAGCAGGTTTTATGACCTGATTCGGTTTACCAGCCATCTGACATTCATGACAAGTTCTACAGTATCTGGCAACATTACCTTTCGTTCCAGGCCAGTAAAAATGCGACAAAATCCTCTTGTATGTTTTCCTAACTCCTAAATGACCTCTCAAAAAGTCGTGTGCTAATTTCAAGATTTCTCCCCTGTGACAATTGGGAATCACAACCGGATGCACAACATTCCACTCATCAGCAGGATCAGATACAGATCTGAACTTCCTCATAAGTAACCCTGAATCCATGTAGTAACAAACAGGCAAGCGAGCCGCTTCTTCCATATCCACAGCCTTCCTACATAGTTCAGATAATTCGGAGTCACTCTGCTGATCATATATTAGTTTTTCCCTAGTGACAGGTATTTTTTGAATGGTAATGTTGTCACCAGAAGAGAGATCAGCTTCAGATTTTGGGGAATGAATGTTAACTGAATCTTTAGCTTCACTCACATCTCTCCCACCAATGTCACTATCAAATGAATCATCCTGACTGTCAAACAGATTCTCAATACCCTAATGAATTTTCATTATTGCCAGGTGTATTACTATCAGCAATACAAAGCTTAGGGTCAACTGAAGGAACGGTCTGTACCTTATTCCGAAGAGTCTGGCTCCTTGTAACTGTACATAAAGGAAATAAATCAGGGTATTCTTCTTCAATTAAACCAGTATTATTCTCCACTGTAGGAGTCGAAGATACCACAGGATCTGGCACTACGCTGGCTCTTGCAATATCATTACCCAGCAAAAAAGTAACCCCTGTCACAGGAAGAGAATCTTGAACACCAATAGTCACCCAACCAGTCACAAGTGAAGTTCTCAAAAACAACAAACACAAAGGAACAGTGATCACTCCACCGATACCCTTAAGCACCAAATGCTCTCCAGTATAGGAATCTTCCACGCAAGGAACAGATCCTTTCAACAGAATACTGTGGAAAGCACCAGTGTCACGCAAAATCTTTGCAGGGTACTGATCACCTGATTCTTCGACTGCAACTGAACCATCAAACATGAAAGGTTCAAAAGAATCCTCCTTTGGGCGATTTCTCACTAAAGTTTTGTCAAACTTCTCCAGAGGTTCGAATGAGAGCACTGGCTCTTCCTTCTGCTTCCAATTTAGGGCAATTTGCAATCACATGACCTGGTTTCTTACAGTAAAAACAGACAAATGCTTTAGTCTTGGCATATGTCTTGGAAAGCTCACCTGAGTTTCCACGAAAATTTACTTTACTAGAAGCAGTACTACTATCCTGCCTACCACCCTTTTCCTTGGTTACAAAACCCTTTCCACCTGAATGATTTTGAGATTTAACAGGATGCATTTTATGAGTAAGGGCATAGCTATCAGCTAATGCAGCAGCTTTATGAACATTACTAATATCTCTCTCTCCTAAGTACAATTGTATATCTCTTGGAGTGGCTCGTTTGAACTGTTCTAAAATAACCAACTAAACAAGTTCCTCAAACGTTTCTGAAGGTTCCAAGTGTTCCCTAAAGAAGGCAGTGATGGGTAGGGAAACACCGGGTAACACTGAAGTCCATTTATTAACGGATAGGAGAAATACAATTGGTGACTAGCGTGTGCCATGCACGGCCCACAGAGTCAGACTGAGACTGCCTTGCCATATGGCAGCCTCGGGGCAATGTTGCCACATAACACGTGCAGTGTTGCCACGTAATTACATATATAAATGCTACTCGGCACAGTAGCTTATGTACAGGGTTGCTACTTGGCACAGTAGCTTAGATACATAACCTACATCTCCCTCCCCCCCTCACGCTCATAGTCTTTGTCTTGAGCGGACTTCTTAGTCCTAAGTCGCTCCGAGCGTCGAGGTGCACTGTGGGGCGGATCCTCGTGAGGTGTAGGGGACTCGTCCTCGGTCAGGGGGCCAGCAGCAGGGGGTGGGACTGGCCGGAGGAAGCGGCGGTTCCTCCACCAGACGCGGCCGCTCGGCATCCTGACCTTGTAGTCCCGCGACCGGCCGACGCCCATCACTATGCCCACCTTGTCCCAACGTGTCGTCGTCGGGTCCTGGACGCGGACAAGGGCACCAATCTTCAGCGGCTGAAGAGGGCGGGCACGGTTGTCATACCGAGCCTTGGAGTCCTGGGCACGTGTAGCGGCGCGGCGGTCACAGCTCTCGGCTCTGGTCTGCCACTCCTTCGCAAAGGCCTTGGCGTGTGCAGGAACGCAAGAGCGGAGAGGGTGAGCGTCCTGTGTGGGTGGGAGTGGACACGGGTTCTGGGCAGCTCTGTGCGGCAGTGCCAGGCACGTCGCTAGTTGATTCACACACCCTGCTGGCGGTGTACCGAGCAGCTGGGATCTGCTCGGGAAAGTCTCTAGGCACCACGCCTAACTCCTTGCATTGCTCCCACGACAACAAGGGTGTAGCGAGAGTAGGCTGCACATCGATCCATCCGTGACACGACCTGTCACCGTAGGTGATCTCCGCTTGAAAGGAGCCCACAGCGTCCGGCATCTGGGAACCATCCGCATTGTAGTACTGCAGCTGCGGCGGTGGTCCCAGGTCGCGTTTGGTGAGGCCCAGTTTCTGGAGGTGCTTCAGGCCTATCACCGTAGTATCAGCGCCGGTGTCCGGTATCACCTCGATGTGACCCAACACATCACCGTGTGTGACGGCGACGCGGATGGTAGGGGAAGGGGTAGCCCTGGGGCGTGTGGTTGATTCCACCCTCCTGATGTGACTCAGCTGCTGCTTGGGGCTGCGTGGGCCATTTGAAGGGGGCTGCGTGCGAACCACCCCGAGGGAAGTGCGCTGCTTTCCTCCTCGTCTCTGGCTTTTGGGCTTGGGTTAGCGGCAGCACTTGTCGTAGTGTCCATAGCGACCGCAGGCCTGACACTTGTAGCCTCGTGCAGGGCACCTGTCTGTGTTAGACCAGTGGCCCTTACGGTCACATCCACGACACGGTGCGTCGGCGGCCGGGCATATCTTGGGGCCATGCTGCTTTCCACAGCTGCCACAGGAAGCACTAGGCGGAGGCGTGGAAGAACGTGCAGCAGCCTTCACGTTGTTGGCCACCTTCTTACCCTTCTTGTATTGTGAGATAGCTCTCACAGCAGGTGGGGCCCGTAAGGCAGAGGTGGCGGACTTGGTGGCCTCGTATGACCGACATTCAGTCACTACCACCTGGAGTGTGGAGGAAGCGTCCAGGGGGATGAGTCGCTGCACCAACTCTTCTTGCCTGACACCTGTCAAGATCCCGTGCTTGATCCAGGCTTCCTCATATTCCTGGCTGTGCGCCTTGCAGACGTCGATCTCCTCCGACAAACTCTTCAAACGTACAAAAAAGTCGTCAAAGGATTCATTCTCCGCCTGCTTGCAGCTGGTGAAGGCGCGGCGACGCAAAGCCTCGTTATTCCGACCCTTAACGTGCTCCTGCAAAAGGTCGAGCACATCCGTCACTGAAGAGTTAGAATCGGGAGGCACTTGTAACGTGTGCTCCAAAACTCTCTGGGTCTCCAGCGACAAACACATCCGCAGTTGGATGAGCTGTTTGTTTGGAGGCATGCTGTCAAGGTCCACCATCGTGGAGTAATCTGTCCACCGCCGCCTCCACTCACGAAAAAGCTGAAACGTGACGTCTGGTGAGAGGGCGGGTGGGGGTTGAACAGATGCCTTGGGAGCTGTTGGAGTAGCAAGAGTGCCTGGAGGACGCTGGTGTGGTGGAGGAGGGAGGGTACTGGCGCCTTGGTGCGCGATACCTGCGAGTGAGGGAGGGTGGGTTAGCGCCAGGGTCGCCAATATTGCATCAAAACGCGCCTTTTCCTCCTCTCTTCGTATCTCCTCCCTCTGAAGTTCCATTTTTCTGCGTCTCTCATCCCTGTCGTCCATCCACCTCAGAATTGTGGCAATGTCCGTCGTTGTAGGTGAAGGATGAGGGGCGGTGGGCGCAGAAGCTCCATCTATGCCTGGTAGAGGAGAAGGTGGTGGGGAGTCGTGTCTCCCATCTTGACGTTGTCCCTTCTTACCGCCCATCTTAGTATGCTTGAATTGCGCTGTTTAGTATATAAAGTGGCGCCTCATCAGCTCGAACCACATATATATGACATAAACAGCGCAGAAATAACGCATAGAGTGCACTGTTTTGTCCATGAGTGCGTGCGTGTGTGTGTGTGTGTCTCAGAGAGCAGATCGTGGTGGCCGCCGCGGAGGCAAGATCATCAGTGTCTCCCTGGATGTCACACGAGAAGGGTGTACGCCTGCGTGCTCTGTGGGTACCACAAAAGACAGGCCAATGCTCAACTCTCAGCTCTAGACACACTAATACACTGACACTAACACTGCCACCGTCACTAAAACGCACTGTGACGGGGCAACACTGCACGTCGCAGCGAAACACAACGCAACACAACACAACACACTAAGAGTCGACGCGCACATCGCTGACAGTCGCACATCGCCGGCTAACTGTCCATTGTTCACACACTTGTAAGTCCACAGATCCTACTCACTGCACCATGAAGGTTCCAAATGTTCCCTGAAGAAGGCAGTGATGGGTAGGGAAACACCGGGTAACACTGAAGTCCATTTATTAACGGATAGAAGAAATACAATTGGTGACTAGCGTGTGCCATGCACGGCCCACAGAGTCAGACTGAGACTGCCTTGCCATATGGCAGCCTCGGGGCAATGTTGCCACATAACACGTGCAGTGTTGCCACGTAATTACATATATAAATGCTACTCGGCACAGTAGCATAGATACATAACCTACAGTTTCTACCTTGCTAGACTTTATCCACCTTCCACACATTTTACTCAATGAATAAACAAATTCTATATACGACTGTACATCAATCTTTCTCATAGTCCTAAATTTCACTCTATATGTTTCAGGAATGAGTTCATATTCCTTAAGAATTTCTTCTTTCACTAACTTATAACTACGACAAACTTCACTTGACAAAGACAGAAATGCTGAACGAGCTGAGCCAGTGAGCACACTTTGAATCATAGCAATCCATGACTCTTCAGGCCACTGAAAAGACTTTGCAATTTTCTCAAACTGCATGAAAAACGCTTCTGGATCCTCCTCGTTAAAAGCAGGCATAAGTCTCAAATGTTTTGTCACATCAAACAATTTTGTCTCAGATTCTAAAGACTATGCCTGTAAGTCTTGTCTTCTACTGCTAACCTGTGCTAACGCTAATTCATGCTGCCTTTCACTCTCTCTTTCCCTTTCCTTCTAAGCCAACTCATGCAACTTATCTTTTTCTCGTTCTTGCCTTCCATGCTCCAATTCTAGTTTTCTTATCTCTACAGCTTCCCTGGGGTCAAATGCATGCAAAGTCAGTGCCCCCTTCGGTAGTCCTCTTCATTCACAAGTTCAGTTAGAACTGCATTTTGAATCACAGACTTCCTTTGACTATGTTGATACTCAATTTCATATGTATCAGCAAGTCTCATCCAATCATCCTTTCGTAGAACACTCTTTCAACATATTCATGGATGGATTCTCAACAAACTCCTCAACATCAAAAGTAGCCATGATTAAACAATAAAGAATATCAATACTGTATCTAAATATTCCCAATAGTTAATGAGTGATAAAGGGATCTATCCTGGCAAGGTCGCCAATTTTGTTATGACCCTAGGCCTCTTAGGGTGTAACAATTACAAATTCAACTTATCTTTGTATTATATATCCAAGGAATAGATCCCACCAAACTCATCACCTCATTACTATGGGGTATATTGAAATACATGGAGTAAATTTAATTACAGAATATATTAACAAACAAACAATAAAACAAATATATCAGTATGTCCAAAAATAAGCAAATACAAACTAAATCTGATCAAATAAACGACTCAACCGAGTGACAAAATAATGAACATCAAAGTACTGTATAGACTAAACACTTATTTAGTCTAGAAACTACCATGAACAACGTGGTTATCCAACACACGCAACTCATAAACAAGTAAGTTATTTACTGTTGAACTCTAAAATGTGACTACCCAGAGTCTCACATATAAAACACTATATAATACTTGGCGTTCTTAAAAGTCGAGCAAGGTTAACACGTTATACCACTAGAAATATACAATAGGAGAGGAGATACTTATCTTATGACTGCCGGCCCAATACTGGCATCACCCGGCTTGGGAGTTAAACAGAGCAAGCAGAGGTGGGCGGAAATGACGTCACAAACAAAAGACGTTCACGTTGCGAATCCACAACCAACGATGGAACGCTCACTCGTAACAGCTTCTACACCTTAAACCAATTCACACTTAGGTGGCCCATGGGCCGGCCATCCTCGTTACATGAGGGGCAACCAGGTCCAGCGGTTTGGATGTTTATTCCTGTCAATAGTCAGATCTTTAAAATTTTGAAATAGAAAATTGTCTATGTTGCCATAACTGAAATCCTCCATGTCTAGGGGGTGGCTAGAGTTGTGATACTGTGTTGTCTTATAAGGCTCTTAATATCTTTGGTTTAATAAACTGTAATTTGGCAATATGTAAACACACCAATCTATAGTACTGTACTTTGAAGGTAACACCACTTAAGTTGTGCAAAAACAGTATATCATTCTTTTTGGGGACAGAATTCCATTTCACTGTATGAACTACAGTATTGTAAATACTATTTTTTTAAAAATTAATTTAATATCCTTCATGTAGGTAGCGGATTGCTATTATAATTTAATTGACTTTCATTTCATTATCAGTGTTATGATCCTTTTTAGTAGAATGTATTTTAATTATGTTAAGTAGGATACTGTCAATTCATTTTGCCACACCTAATTTAATAACAGTATACCCGTATAGTATTCTAAAAAAAAAATCTTTAATTGATCGCTGTTACTACAACAGCATCTTGTTACCATGTGCTCATTTATAGAAATGCAAGTTATCATTTTGAATGTGAAGTTCACTGAACAATTTACATACAGCAGGATAAATTAAGTCAACCAGCTAATCAAGTTGAGCTTGAATAAATTTTTCCTTACTACATTTTTCATAAGTGATCATACAACCTACAGTACTATAACTGAACAAAGTTGAGATAACACTGATAAACGAGAAGCATAATACCACATGTACTGCATAATACAGACGCTCGGAATGTGGCTGAAGAAAAAACATACCTGGAATAAAAAATTTAGAGCGAACATTATCTTGGAGGTTAAGGTTAAATATTCTCCAAGATATCCAGCATTGCACTTTGTCATACACTGTTGCTGACTTTGACACTAAGTAATGACAAAGATTGAAATAACTACAGTACCAGGTAACAATGTAATTTGATCTCTAGCTCCAAATTGTTATTGTTTCAGTAATGACATTATCCTCTGCCTAAAAACTCGTTCCATATAAACTCGATTATAAAAAGTTATAAACCATAGGAAAAGAAGAAAACTATAAACACATAAGTGATATTTATTGATAAAGTTAACTGATATTGTATCACATTTTGTTCTATATTTTTTTGCCATGATGTCCACAAATAAGACTGACAACCACAGCATGACCAGAGATGAATTATTTTTTTTTCACATGTAAATCTTAAAACAGGATACAATTAACTTATTCTAAAAAAAATGAGTGAGTAGTAAAGGCCTCAAATATATGAAACAATACCTGAATTAAAAGTACTGAATGAAACCATCACTCACATACCCAATCTGTTTCAGATAATCCTTCACAACTTTAATACATATACAGTATAGGATTTTTTCAATACAGTATCTAGAATTTTTAAATCATACAAGACTTAACCCCTATAAAATTATTTATAAATTGTCTAGGATTTATCCTGGATATAATGACCTCATAATATTAGGTTAGGTCCATAAACCTCTATACATGTGACAATCATTAGAATAAGTGAGGCCACTACCTTTAAGACATGTAGATCAAACTCAAGGTGACATACCTTTAAAAAAAAAAAGAAAAATAAATAAATAAATAAAAAATTAATAAAAAATTAAATTAAATTTTTTCAGGATCGAGATATCCCTTGATAATATTTCCTTTACTGGTCAACAGAATATTTTAGAAATAACAATATAATATCTTTTCTGTATTACACTAGCTTAGTCCTGTTAAAAAACTAAATCTTTGTAGTTGCAGGTGAGCTAAACAATTATGGAGGAATATTACATACATTTTTAATAAGACAGTTAGGTCTTAGACCAAAGCCACAGTTTTACAAAGGACAGTTCAGGTTTATATGAATCAAAAGTTTTATGAATCTTAAAACAGAACAATTATGAATTTAGATCATACAGACAATTTAAAAACTTTAAGTGTCCAATTGTGTTATCTTATAGTATGTATTAAGACAAAATATAATGATCATCAAATTATTAATCATTTCAAAGCAATGGCCAAGCACCTCAAAACCCACGTGATATGACTCTCCACCATCACATCCACAAAAAATACTTCATGACAATGTCTTTATACAAGGGAAATGTGTCAGCATGCCAAGTCAAAGCTGAGTTTTCCACCTAAGGGATTCACATCCTAGTCTTTACACACTACAATACTTGCCAAGTGTAAATGACAGGTGTTTAACCCTCAAGCAGCAAAACAGGTTTGTTGGTGTTGTGAATAGAAAAACAATCAACTTCAGTTAGAATCCAGTGACCCTATCACAATCACATTTGGATGGGTTGTCTGCTCAAGTAAGCAGAGCTACAAATTGTAAAAGAAGGGAAAATTGCTCGAATATATTTAGAGCATATATATATGTGAATTTAAGCATCTTAAATGACCAAAACAAGTGATGAATGATGAACGAACTCTGTCACTGCAAATGTGTAAATGCAAGATATGCTACAGAAATTTGGGTGACTTAGCAGGAGAGGGAGACAACTCATGAATATTTGGAGAGTTGATGAGCATCCCGCTACTGGGAAAAGATACAATCTATATCGGTAAACAAATCCCATCCTCATGTACAGCAGATCTGATCTTCAGTATCATTACATCTATTAGGTGTATCAGATGATTACAGAGCTTCCATGTTGGTTACTTAGACTGAGGGGTAGGGCAGGTTCACGTGTTGCGAATTTTGCCAGGCACATAGTTTTTGTCAATGACTGGCTCTTGAATGAACATGTGTAGGCACTTTTCATTCTGTGCAAGAGGATGTCCTGCAATTCTGAAAGGCACACAAAGGGTGGGTGAGGTTAGTAATGGATATTCACAACTGTTATTCAGGCAATAACTTGCAAGTGTTAATATAAGTAACCTAAAAATCATCACACGAACGATCATTGTTATTCCTCACCCATTTTCGTGTGGGGTGCATTAATGTAAAAAAATAATAATTCAGAAGGAAAACAATAGTAAAAGTGCTACAAGGCAAGTGTAGAGAGCAACTGGAAAGGAAAAAGACATCTAGCAAAAATATGGGTACTGTATCTAATTCTATAGATAAAAAATTAATGAATTAAGAAAAGTAAATTATCATAGGTAGTTTTGTGAGTGCATGTGACAAATAACCACAAAATCTAAATGTACTGAACATACAAATAGACTGAGCGAGACTAAACTGTGGGAGGGACAACTGGAGCAATATAAATTGGAGAGAACAGAAGTGTTTGAGGTAACAAATATTCTGAAACTTAATGAAACAGAGTAGACACCACCACTTACGACGACCCTTCACAACAGTGCAAAAAGTTCGGGAAGACATAATTTTACACTACTGTACTCTGCTAATAGCTAGGTGTATCCTAAAACTGCAAGATAGACGTAAAGGCTTCTGTGATTGACTAGAAGAGAAAATAACCATATAACTACAGTATACAGAAAATATTAATGAACGAAGCTAATTTAAGAAGCATGATCACAATCCATCTTCGCACATGTTAATAATGAATATAAGCAGAAAATAATCCAAAAAGTCAATCATTTCTTGTAATTTTTTTTTCCAACCATCATTGAGGTAAAGTGGCTACCTTGTGTTTGGATTGTGAAATTATCTTCTGCCACAAAAATAGCTTTGTTTATACATTGAACTAAGTTTGGTAACAGAGGGAAATGGGGATACAGTAGGGTAGGGATATATCGCGACTTTATAAAGATTTTTTTTATATCGCAGCTACCAAAATTATCAAAATTTTCCTATATAGTATAGCGATATTTTTTTTTATTTCGCGAGGGAAATTGGGCAGGAAATATTTCAAATGTACCGCCACGGCAAACCATTGTGTTATTTACTCACCAGAGGCGCCACCTTGGCTGCTCACTCACACATTCACGCTCGCCAGCTCAGTCTTTCTGAGTGAGTGACGAGAAAGCAGCCGACTCTGCTGCAGATTACGACTTCTAAGGCAAGTGTAAACGAGTTGCTAGTGACATGAAAAGTGAAGATAATGGAAAGCTTAATGGAAATTTTTAATACTCTAATATTTTTGGTTTGTTCGTTTATGATTGTTAAGTGAGAGTGGCAGCGAGTCGTCTGTTGTTCTCGGGATAGCGCGTCAACTGCCTAGTCTGGTGCAGATTCCAATTTCTAAAGCGAGTGTAAGTGGGTTGCTAGTGACGTGAAAAGTGAAGTGAGATAATGGAAAAGATTTAATACTGTAACTAATATTTTTTGTGTTAATTTATGTAGGTGTGGGATTGTCAAGTGAGAGTGACAGTGTGGCATCTCTGTCGAGTCTGGTGTTCCCAGGATGGTGCGTCAGCTGCCAGGTCTGGTGTTCCCAGGATGGTGCGTCAGCTGCCGAGTCTGGTGTTCCCAGGATGGTGCGTCAGCTGCCGGGTCTGGTGTTCCCAGGATGGTGCGTGAGCTGCCGGGTCTGGTGTTCCCAGGATGGTGCGTCAGCTGCCGGGTCTGGTGTTCCCAGGCTGTCGAGTCTGGTGTTCCCAGGATGGTGCGTCAGCTGCCAGGTCTGGTGTTCCCAGGATGGTGCGTCAGCTGCCGAGTCTGGTGTTCCCAGGATGGTGCGTCAGCTGCCGGGTCTGGTGTTCCCAGGATGGTGCGTGAGCTGCCGGGTCTGGTGTTCCCAGGATGGTGCGTCAGCTGCCGGGTCTGGTGTTCCCAGGATGGTGCGTCAGCTGCCGGGTCTGGTGTTCCCAGGATGGTGTGTCAGCTGCCGAGTCTGGTGTTCCCAGGATGGTGCATCAGCTGCCGAGTCTGGTGTTCCCAGGATGGTGCGTCAGCTGTTGAGTCTGGTGTTCCCAGGATGGTGCGTCAGCTGCCGAGTCTGGTGTTCCCAGGATGGTGCATCAGCTGCTGAGTCTGGTGTTCCTTGATATTGAAATAGCCTGTTGTTCCCGAGTCTAGTGTTCATTGGTGCTTTAGTTAGTAAGAAAATGAACTCGTTAAGTCAAGTTCAGTCACTTTTCTTGGCCTGCAGAACCTAATCCTATTTTCCCCATTGATTACACGCAATTATATATCACGACTTAGTATATAGCAAACATCATTGGACCCTATCTCGTGATATATCCCGACCCTACTATACCAAGTTTACCCTTAAATCTCAGGTGACATTCCTGAATGTTCTTAATTTTTGCGTCCTATTTTTAATATCCAGGAGGGAGGAAATACTTTGTATGGGAGTGTTTGTAAATGGTAACTTGACTTGCATGTATTTGTCTCAAGACTCATGGTCAGTTACCCACCAGATATTGAGGGATAAGTATCCTTAGACCTCTCACATGACCCACCTCACTCCTCCACACCCAAGTAAGCAAAGGCATATGCTTGACAGTGGTGCTGTTCACCAAGAGTGGCTCGATTTGAGTGGCATTGTTATAGTATTGGGTGACCAAGACAATAATGAGGAAACAGAACCCAGATGATGTGAAGACAGTGATAAGCCTACAGACTGGCGCTCCCTCCCACTCCCCACCCTGCCAGCCAGTGAACCACGATGCAGATATGGTGACTTGGTGCAAGGAGTATGGATTTGCCTTGTGCATTTTTTGTTGCAAAGACTTCCACATGATCAATTAGTTCTAAATTCAGTGGAAGTATTGTACATGTAAATAGTGTACAGGTATATACAGCTGCTCCCCGACTTACGACGGGGTTAGGGACCCAAATCCAGGTCTTAAGTCAAAAATGCTTAATACATAGAAAATCTAAAATGGGTGTCTTTCTTCTCAGCACCATAAAACTCTCACTTTTAAGCTTGCCAGCCATTTCAACGTGAATTACAAATGAAAACTTTGTCAGTACACAGCGCAATCACTAACGTTGGGACTCGAAAATCCGTAATTTGACAAAATTTTGGTACGACTGAGGCGGTCGTATGTCTGGGTGGTCGTAGGTCGATTATATTGTAGGTCGAGTATGTCGTGAGTCAAGGAGTACCTGTACTTGAAAGTAGTGAAAAGAAAAGAATTTTAAGTTTTTTGCTGCCTGAATATTCCTACTGTTCAGAATTTTACAGTCCTTTTGAGGAAAATAGAAATATTTTGTTTTGTAGTAGCTATAAGATAGAAATATGATATAACAGTGCCTTACAAGTAAGAATTGTGTGTTGCAAATAAGTGTCAACATTACTTCCTGCTCGCTGTGCACAGTAGTTTCAAACAATACATCTTTTATTACTCCACACTGCTGATAAACCATGCTACTATGAAAGTAAGTACTGTACATTCTTTTGGTATTTTTCTTATATTTATTAACCTGTTTATAAGGAAACAATGGATTTAAAAAAAAATAATAAAAAATAAATAAAATAAAAAATTTACCAAAATATGTTTGTGTTCGGCGGGTTTTACGATGCCCAGGGTCTAAGGGTTAAGAGTTATGGTATACTGTACGTACTAGTTAACTCTTACAATATGATACACCACACTATCAAGTACGTTTCCATTATTCCCCTTGTACCCCCTGAAATTATTATATATATTTCTTGTATTTATGGTGTTTTTCTGGTACAGTTGTACCCCACTTAACGCGGTCAATTGAACCCAGAGGGTCCCGCGTTAAGTGAAATCCGCGTTAAGTGAACAACAGAACATATGGGATTAATTCCAATAGAAACCAGCCCGACCCCCAAACTCCACTTTTTGAAGGCACATACCTATGTTGTAGTAAAAATAACATCTTAATTTTATGATGGTACATGCACACAATTAATACTTAAGAGAAATAGAGAAATACAGTCGCCAAGTTAATGTCCATTCAAATAATGGACTCAACTCCCTCCCCCTCTCACACTACACTGCCAGCTCTTCCCTCTCAGAGAAATTTTTGGGGGAAAACCACTAAATTTTAATAAGTAATACCTCAAACTAAAGTTAGGATAATACAATTGACATTGCTGGATTCCTTGTAAGACCAGGAATATTTTGAATATAAATGTCATTTTGCACAAAAGATAACATAGTTACCTAGAGAAAAATTGTTATCTAAAATTTGTATGTTTAATGCAAAATATATGATGTTTATATTCAAAATGATCACCAAATAATAAGAATTCCAGCAATGTAAATTATATTCTGACCGGGTAATTTGTATGAATTTTATGAGCTAAAACAAATATCAGTTAATAAAAAAAAAAATAATCTTCACGACACTATCTGTCAATCAAAGTACCCCACCTTGCCTCCCCCCCTCTTCCAACCGCCCGGTCAGTCCCAACCCTCCCCCCCACCCCCCACCAATCCTCCCTTCCAGGGTTTTTAACATTTAGTATTAAATAATACCTCAGATTAAAGTTAGGATAATATAATTGACATTGCTGGATTTCTTGTAAGACCAGGAATATTTTGAATATAAATGTCATATATTTTGCACAAAAGATAACATAGTTAATTTGAGAAAATTTTTTATCTAAAATTTGTATGTCTAATGCAAAATATATGATGTTTATATTCAAAATGATCATCAAATTATAAGAATTCCAGCAATGTAAATTATATTCAGACCGGGTAATTTGTATGAATTTTATGAGCTAAAACAAATATCTTCAGTTAATAAAAAAAAAAATAATTCTTCACTGGGTAACAGATGGTCGGTCGGTCCCTCCCTCCCCCCCACCCCCACCAACCGTCCCAAGGAGATGTGTGGGATAACCACTAAATTTTAATAAATAATACCTCAAACTAAAGTTAGGATAATATAATTGACATTGCTGGATTCCTTGTAAGACCAGGAATATTTTGAATATAAATGTCATATTTTGCACAAAA